TACAGGTCAAACGCGAATAATTAGAATATCGTGCAAAGTTCATTTATTTCACTAATGCAACTTAAAAGGTGAAACTAATATATGAGATAGACTCATTACATGCAAAGCAAGATAGTTCAAGCCGTGGTTTGTCATCATTGTGATGATTATGGCTTACAGCTCATGAAAACCCCAAGAACCCCAAATCCACAACCTCAAAAAAGTAGAATATTACATGCAATCAATAAAACAAGGATTGTACATAGAACAATATCGGACCTCTGAAAAGTACAAGCATGCATATGTACTCAGTACTTGGTTTGGGCCCCTTTTGCAGCACTTACTGCAATTACTTTTGCACGATATTCTAATTATTCGAGTTTCACCTGTATATTGAATGGGGATTGCATAGAGATTGTACAAGTGACATGTTCTAGGCAAGAAGGACGTAGAACATTTACATAGTATCTCGCAAGCCGTGTAACGTGTTCTGTAAACCATTTTCCAGTAAAGTTCATGTGCGTGTAAAGGCGTCCCAATACTTTTGGCATTATAGTGTAAGCTCACACCGCTGGCAGAGCCGGGCGCTCCTTTGTCTTTGTTTCATGAAACAAGTTCCTCAGCATTGTCTATCCCCACCCTGTGTAGATTCCTGCTCCGTACTCCACCCGGGGCCACGTAACTTGTAGAACAATAGTCTGTAGTTGTCGCTGGGAGTACACAACATCTTATGTACCCTCATGAGACGTGAGAGAACGCACACCGGACTTCCGAGTTTCCACAAATTTCTAACACGCTTACAGGACGGTATATTATCCATCGGGCCCACCTCACACCCACCCAATTATCTACATTTACGTTGCCAGTCAAAGCCCCTTGTTCCCCAAATGCCAAAATTCTCCCGGCAGAGTCGTTGCCATAAATAATGGCACCCCTGCATTTCTGTCAGATAATGAACCACTTTGCGCAGAAAATTGTTGCAATGACAAATGTTTCGGCATTCTCGTGTTTATTTATTTAGTTTCTATTGGTGACACTAAAAAGTGGAGGGAAAAAAAAGCCAAATCGGACAGATTCCACCCAAAAATGGACCGGACATAATGATTGGCACCTTCTCCACATTGCAAGAAATAATTGCATTCCAAGTTTCTGTGGAGAAGCACGGACAGTCTCGCGGTTACAAGTCCGTCTCCAGAGATCTTCATGTTCCTGTGTCCTCTGTGCCCAACATTGTCAGGAAGTTTCCAGCCCTCGGCACTGGCGCCGATCTCCCCGGACGTGGAGGAAAGAGAACAATTGATGAAAGATTGCAAGGAAGGATAATGACCCTCCGTCACCTTCCAGACAAATCCAAGCCGACCTTCAGGCACCGGGTACAACTGTGTCAGCTCGCACTATACGTCCCCATCTGAATGATAGGAGACCCAGGAGGACCCCACTGCTGACACAGAGACATCAAAAAGCCAAAACTTACCTGAGGAAGCCAAAATCCTTTTGGGAGAATGTGCTGTGGAAATATTGCGGCAATGTACCGCGCGATATCGCTCTCCAATGCTTCTCAATGGGGCAAAGGGTCCTGCTGTCGCAGGTCGTGCGTCGCTACAGCAGGACCCTTTTTGGAGCGGATTTAGCCGCGATTCAAGCTTGCTCAATACAAGCATTTGCGCGATATCGCGCAAAATGCAAATCTCGCGGTTTGCGAACCGCTCAATGTGAACGGGGCCTTAGGCACTGGATGTCTTGACTGTGTGCATTAAAGTCCAATACGCCCCCCCCCCCGCACTCCTCACAGCGTCTCCGGCCCGAATCATTTGCTGTTTGCCTGCAT